CAGCAATTGGTTTATGTTGTACTTCAGTTCTTCTTTGGGCTGGCGTCTTTTATTCTCCAGGTGCGCTGTCTGCGTATATGTGGGAGTACATTACATACTTACGTAATTGCATGTGTTGCGTACCATAAGTGGGGACCGCCACACAACGGTCGCCGCAGCTCTGCGAGCTGCGCCGTGTTCTCATACGCCTACGGATTGGGGACACAGATTGGTTATTCCCCGGGGGGGTTTCAAGCCGCCCCTCCCGGCGCCAGGGGTGGGGGGGGGGTTTCAACCCCTCCCCCCCCCTCCCCCTGGCGCTGGCGCTGGCGCTGACGCCGGCCAGCAGCGCCAGCGCTGGCGCCGGCGACGGCGGGGACGCAGCCATGATTACCACCACTACCACCACCGCCACCACTACCACCGCCACCACCGCCTCAACCCACAAGCAACCAAACGCCAAACACCACCAGCAACCACCGACCGACAGCACCACCACAAACAATACCGACCCCAACCGACCAACAGCGCAAGCGAGCGACCACCGCCGACCGCAACCGAGCAAGAATGCCATCGCAAGCAGCACGGACTTCAACCGACCAGCGGCGACCAACGGCACCCACCGGAAACCACCGACCAGCATCGCAACGAGCAGTGCCGACCCCGACCGACAAGCAGCGCCCACCGCCACCGGCCAACGACCAGCGACGGCTAATCACCCACCACAAAAGACACAGCACCCGACCGACGAACAGCGCGCACCAACGCCCACCGACAACCACGACCAGCCAACGACGCCGCAAGCAGCACCGACCCCAACCGACGAACGGCACCACAACCACCAACCACCAACCACAGCGACCGACCAACCACGACCCACCGACAACCGCGACCGACAACAACCGCGACCGACCGACCAACCACGACCCACCGACAACCGCGACCAACGGCGCCACGACCACCAACGCCCACCGACAACCACGATCCAACGACAACCGCGACCGACCAACAGCACCACAAGCAGCAGCGCAACCAACCGACCAGCAACGCATGCAAGCGCCCACCGCCGACCACAACCGACCACAACCGACCGCCGACCCCAATCGACCAGCGGCGCCCGGTAGCGCCCACCGACAACCGTCGACCAGCAACAGAGCAAGCAACGCCGACCCCAACCGACGAGCAGCGCCCATTGCGACCCACTCACGACCAGCAACAAACGGCAACGTCACCAACTGACCAGCAGCTCCCACCAGCGCCCACCGAAAACCGCGACCCACAGATAATGCCACAAGCACCACCGACCCCAACCGACCAACAGCACACACAAGCGCACTCCACCGAACACGACCTACCAGCGACGCCACCACAAACAGCACAGACGCAAACCAACCAGCGACGCCCACCAGCGCCCACCGACAACCACACAGCCACATCACAGCAAACAACACCAACCCCAACCGACCAGCAGTGCCCACCGCCACCTGCCACCGACCGGCGACGACCAGCAACTCCATCACCAATCGTCGTCGGCCACAGACAAGCAGCAACGTCGACCAGCCCTCTCCCTCCCCTCCTTCCCCCATATCCTCCTTCTCCACAGCACCAACAACAACCAGGGCAGACCGACCACATAATATGACAATCATTCACAAAAACGCCCAGTCTCTTTCAACAGACGACCAAATCAGCGAGATAATCAGTGAGTTCGAGTCCGATCACTGGGATTTCGCCCTTATCAGCGAAACGTGGAGAACAACGGCCGAAGAGTTCTGGAAACTTCGACAGGGCTTGCTTTCGCCGGATCTGGCAATGACCAAGCATGCCCTGGAGTTGCCGAAATCATACATCGACATTGGGTTAAAAACATCCAGAGGTTCCAAGCGCTTTCGCCCAGACTCGCCTCGGTATCGCTGAAGAAAGGGAAACTGAAACTACAACTCGTGGTTGCGTTTTTTTCCCCTCATTCGGGGTACAGTGGCCCACGCGTGCAGCGCATGTACGACATGATCCACGAGCTTCGCAGAGAGAGAGAGAGAGAGAGAGAGAGAGAGAGAGAGAGAGAGAGAAAGAGAGAGAGAGAGAAAGAGAGAGAGAGAGAGAACACCAAGACACGACATCACCTGATACTCGCAGGGGATTTTAACGCACAGGTAGGGGCGTCCATGACCTCCGAGGACGCAGACGACAACGCCGACATTTTCGACAGCACCACTTGCAGGCATGTTGGCCTCCATGGATTCGGGGAACAAAACTCCTGGGGTATTTGGCAACGTCATTGGGCCGCCCAGGAGGGACTTGTTATTGCAAATACGTTTTTGTCGCAAGCCATTGCAAACATAAATCACTTATAACAGTGGTGACAATCACAAGCAGCTCGACTACGTACTTGTGAACCGCACGCACGATGTTCCGGCACTGCACCAACGCAGAGGCCAACAACAGGACCGACCTCGGCTCCGACCACAAGGCTGTTACCGTCGATTTGCGGATACCGACCGCAATGATAAGCGTACGACCACGATGTGACGACGATCGACGACAGCAACGGCGACAGCAACGACAACGAACGACCGGCGCTATCACCAACACGCAAGTTTACCATGACCGCCAAGGGCCCCATTTACGCCCGCACACTGCTTTCCGACTCGAGTGAATTGTGCGGACACATCCAGCGAATTGTCGTCTACGCCGCTGCCGCCAGCAGTGCCGCGGGAAACTCATCTTGGTGCGACAGAGGCGGTGCAACCCTGGCCAATGCGCAAGCAAACCAATAACGTGACAGAGGACTAGTACGACTACGCAACCTACTCACTGAGCGGCAGCAGACGCCAAACGACGACCACCACGCCCTTAGCAGCCGAGTAAACGTATACAGCAAGTGATCTGTACACAGAAGAAGACGGGACGACGGGCCCATATAGCAAACGTACTTGAGCAGTTCAGAGATTTGCATCCCGCGTATCAGAACATGAGAAAACGAGCTCTCATTACCCGCATGACAGACGAAGAGGGCAGCAAATGTACGACGCGACAATACATTGCGAACGATTTCGCGGAGTTCAACGAGCAATTGTACAAGTCGACAGCAGAGGCGACGCAGCCGGAACGACTAAACGACGACCGCACCGACCGCCGACCGGCAGACCAACCAGCAGACCGACCAGCAGACCCGCAACCTAACCGGCCGAATGCCGCGCCAGCCGACCAACCAGTAGCCCAGCAGACCGACCACCGACCGCCGATTAACAGACCAGCAGACCGACTACCACCGATCGACAAGCAAACCCACCGACTCCCGCAACGACCAAGCGACGACCCCACCGACCACCGACCAGCAGACCGACCAGCAGACCGACCAACAGACCGACCAGCAGACCGACCAGCAGACCAGCAAGCCAACAGGCCGAACGCCGCACCAGCCGACCAACCAGTTGACAAGCAAACCGACCACCGACCGCCACGTGCCTTTCGTCTTGTTTTTCGTCAGGGATGGTGTGTGGGGTGGGGGGGTCCGCTCATGGTTCCTGGTTGTTTGCCCGTCGAGTGAGGGAGGGGGCGCTTTGTAGTAAGGAGCAGTGAAACCCTTCCCCGAAGTTGAAGAAGGGGTAAATCGAACAAACTTCCTAAACGGTCTAAACCCAAAGCGCTGGTGGGAAATCTCCATCGAAGCATTGGGCCATCCTGTGGTAAGCGTATGGCTTATAGAAGCGAGTAGTCTCAGGGTGCCATACGCGTGCGTCACATGTTCTTTTACGCGTGCGCACGTTTTCAGTGGAGTCCGCAGCGTCCAAATTTGCGCTGTCATAGCCTACTTCCATGTGGGGGCCATGGTCGCCATGCGTGTTCCTCTCGTAGCTCACGACGGCTGCGACAGAGGGGCCATCCACTACAAGCGTGCAGTTCTCGTTGCCACCCTGCTTGCGATATCTCAGGCGTGCAGCGTCTTGGTTTCGTCGCGCCATCGCATGGAGTCGCGAGACCGCTTTTCGAAAATGCATGCGTAGGTATCAGCTCGTACGATGTCCTTGCTGCCGGCATGAAAACGTCGTCTGCTTTTATCGTTATCCCTCCCCCCCGGCATTTTTCCCTCCGTCCTCGATCCCCCTCTCCGCCTCGTTCCTCGCCCAGCCCTGACCTCCTGTCCCTCTCGTCCCTCCCTTCTCTCCTCCTCCCCCTCTTCTTCCTCCCCTGCCCTGCCCCCCCCCTCCGTCCGCTCCCTCGCCCTCTCTCCTCCTCGCTCCCTCTCTTTGTCTCTCTGCCCGTGCGCCACCCCAGGGGCAGGACCGCGGAAGGAAGGGGGCTGCCCCGGTGCCCCCCCTCCTGGCCAGGCTCGCCCCTCCGCAGCTCCCCTCGAAGAAGAAACAGCGCCATGAACACAAACTTCCGGCGCTCCGCGCAGATTTCTGGGATCCGCGCTGGCCCCCCCCCCTCCCCGGCGGCGCCTCCGGCGCCGCCTCTGGCGCGCTCCGCGCGCCTGGGAGGGGCTCAGCGCGGATACAAGAAATCCGCGCGGAGCGGTAAAAGTTTATATATGTTCATGGCGTTGGTTCTTCTTCTGCTCCCGCCGGCCTTCGGTCCCCGGGCCCGCGCCCCCGGAACGTCGCAGGCGCTCCTCGTGAGGCCAGGAGAGCATCGGTGACGCACCGCCGCCGGGAGCCCGCCCGCGTGCCCCCCCCCCCGTTTTGGCCCGAGGGCCCGGTGCCTCCTCAGCAGAGGCGCGTTGATGGGTGGCGCTTCCTCAACAGTGGCACGCTGATGAGTGACCTTTCGCCGGAGTGACCTTTGGCGCGGGCACGGATGGGCCGGCCCCCAGATGGCTGGATTTGGAGCGGTGGCAGCGGCTTGCGCGCCCAGGTTTGGAAGAAGCCGCGCACCAAAGGTCACTCTTACCCAGGGTCATTCTTGCGTGTAGCCGATTCCCCACGGCTGCGTGTCCCAGAGCTCTGAAAGTTCTGTCGGGGTCCGAAGACGTGCTTGACGATACGATCTTGTTGCCTGCCCGTTCGGTTGGCCAGCAGGCACTGCTGAGGGTCGGCGGGAGCAAGAGGGTGAAGACGTCCGGTACCACGACGGCCAAGGGGGAGTTCAGCGAGGAGTCCCTGGCGAAGGCGCGAACCTACCTCAACGGCATGGTCGAGAAGTCTGTCGACGACCTGGACAAGGCTTGAATCAAAGGTTCTAAAACTACTCGGCGCGACTGGCGGACAAACACGATGCAAGAAGGCGTCCACGACCTTCCATAACCTTTCACCGTCTCCCAGTGGCTTTCCTGTTGGCGCAAAACAGCGAAACAGCGAAACTGTGGACAGATGCAGCGTTTGCATGCCTTTCGTTGTACGCTTCGTCCGTGAACGCACGCAGCTCATCGCCTCCTGGGCGCCTCCTAAGGAACTTCTAGGTATCCTCCTGGCGTCTCCAGGGAATCTTCAGGGGCCTCAGGGACCTTCAGGATCCTCCAGAATTCCTCTGGGGGGCCTCCCAAGCATTGCCTTGCACAAGACTTGAGGATCGTGGAGGACTGCGAGGCACCGCCAGCCCGTGTTCCAGAGGCCTCCCAGGAACTTTCGGGGCCTGCTGGCGGAGGCACCGGGAGTCTCTGGTAGTGTCCGGATCCAGGGCTGGACCTAAACGGTGTTTTTGGTGATTTCGTGGGCCGTTTTCGTTTCGACTTCGTCTTGCGGTAAAGGCGGATTCGAGACACAAGCGAGGGAAAACGAAAACAAAACGATAACGAGAAACACCGTTTAGGTTCAGCCCTGTCCATATCATGATCGAGAAGCTTCCAGGGGCCCCCAGGGAGCCTCCGGGGCCTTCCTCAGGACAAGGGGCCTGTGGAGCCACCCCGAGGGGGGGCGTGGCACAGGATGACGGCTGTGTGGAACGGCCAACGGCCGGAGGTCCTTTGTTCGGGGGTGGACAGACCTCCTACCCTGACACGTCGATTAAGGAATTGGCCGCTTTCGGTCGGTCCCAGGCCGCTTTCACTAAAAGGATGTCTATGAAAGGGAGGTTTGCCCACCGCCGATGTGTGGTATCCGTGGAGAGGGCTTGGCGCAGCAGCCTGGTGTGGGTCTCGGAGCCAGCTGGGGGGCTCTGGTGGCCCAGCATTGGTTCTGGCCAGCTTGAAGCGGGTACAGTGCCGTTTTTAATACATGCTCCGCGTGCGGACCATGTATTAGAAATAAAGGGATGATTATTGGATACAAGGATGAGTTTATGCAGTAATTTATTCATACATTACTCATGTATAAAAATCCTATATTTTTAAACATCCAATGTATTCAAAACTGCCCTGTAGAAGGGGTCCCTTCGTCGCCACGGCTGGACTCGGCTCGAACAATTGGCCAGGCTCGACCCCTGATGGGTCTGAGGACCGATGTGGAGCGAGCTGGCCTACATTTAAGTCGGGAGTGTCCCCCTACAAGGGGATTTTCGACGAAAAATAAAAAATACCCTCCAAATAGTCAAAAAATAGTCTACAAATAGTCTGGGGACTATTTTTGATCATTTTTTTTTGGCAATTTTGGGGTACTTTCGGGGTATTTTCATTTCTGGTCGAAAATCCCCCTGTAGGGGGACAGGCCCGACCTAAGCCTACATCTCCCCCTCTGCACAGCGATAGCTTTTCTCGGAGTTTGTCCAGCTCAGACCCCCCGGCCGCCTCCAAAGTGGGACCGCCCAGTGACCCCGTTCGCCTTCGGGGCTCCCTGGGGCCCAGGGTTCAGTCGCGCATGTCCATCGACAGGGGGAGCATTCAAAGATAGTAAGAGATAGTCAGGGGACGATTCTCTCATCACTCTGACTGTTCTGGAGCACTTGTTGACTGTTTTTGGACTTGCCGCCAAAATCCGCCTGTAGGAGGACTTGCCTGACCTGAGTTTAAGCCGGGCCTGTCGTCCCGCTACGGGAGGAACATCCCCAGATAGCAGAACAACGGTCCGGGGACTATTTTTTCGGGGTATTTTTTTGGACCGTTTCTGAATATCTTGGGACTGCTTGAAATACTGCCCAACATCCGCCTCTAGGGGGACATGCCCGACCTGCACCGAAGCCCAGGGGGTGGACCCCCACCGTCTCGCGGCTCCCGGGAGCCCAGGGGGGTGGGCCCCCGTCGTCCCCACGGCGGTTCTCGGGCGCGAGCGGAGGCGGCCAGGAGTGCTCTCGGGAGAGGTGGCTGCCCTGCTGTCGAGCGGACTCGTGGCCAGGAGGAGGAGGAGGAGGATGAGGGAGGGGGAGGAGGAGGAGGAGGAGGAGGAGGAGGAGGGGGAGGAGGAGGAGGAGGAGGAGAGGTGGCTGCTCTCATGTCGAGCGGACTTGTGGCCAGGGGGAATCGGCCAAGTTTCGGCTTCTTGTGACGCGTTTGAGCAGATTAGCAGGTCACCATCGAGTGTAAGGAGTTCGAGGAGCGCAATCGCGAGACGTTCAGCCAAGTGTCCAACGACATCAAGCGCATCTCGGGCCAAATTTCCGACCTTCGCCGGAAGCAGATCGGGTCTAACGAGGAGATCCGCGAGCAGTCTCGCATGCACAAGGAGACTATCTCAGAGAAGGAGGCGGTCGCGTTGCGGTGCCACCAGACGTCCTTGGAGAAGGCGGCCGATTTGAAGCTGAAGGAGGACGACCTCGCGGTGTTCGACTTCATCCTCGCTGCAACCAAGTGTACAGATGATGAGGAGACTGCTGAGTTCGTGCAGCTTAGAAAGCATAACCACTCCTCCCAGGGCATGAGCGTCTGCAGCACACAGAAGGGCGAGCTTGAGTTGTTCTTCAATGATCCCAAGGTCCAGAGGCGATTCGAGAAGCTGCTTACGCCGTCGGCTCGAAAGACGATCCACAAGCTGCTTGGGAAGGCTGCTACGCAGCATGGGAGCTTCGTTGAGCTCCGTTCCGAAGAGTGGGAGCAATCCTCAAACTTTACCACGACCACTCCAGTCGTCCCGACAATCACGCAACCGGACGCCCCAGTGCGCGAAACCGCGGACCAGGGCGGGCAGTGGAAGAAGTGCGTGAACGGCAAGCCCGACTGCGGTCTTCTCCACGACACGATGGCCATCGAGTGGGGCACTTACCGCGACCTGGTCGACGAGCTGAAGTACGAGATGGGCCAGGACAAGGCGGAGTGCACGTCCCTGGACGCCAACCTGAACGAGCAGCTGGTCATCATAGGCGAGGGCAAGACAAAGGCCATGGAGATGCTTGCAGAGACGATCTCCAACATCCAGGAAGATAGCCAGGAGAAGACGGAGAAGACTGAGCAGTACCATGAGCTCGAGGCGGCCTACAGAAAGAAGATGGGCGAGTGCAAGATGACGATGGAAGAAATCCTGTACACGAACATCTGCGCGGTCAGGAAGATCCGCGACTCTCTGTTGACGAGCAGCGAGGTGTCGCCCCCAGAAAAGATCGACGACTGTGACGTCGAGGACTGGACGCCCGGCGACTGCTCCGTGGACTGCGACGACACCTGCCCGCAGGACGACCCGTACAAGTGCGGGGGCTGGCAGACGCTCACCAGAGGCGTGGTCACCGAGCCGAACGAGTATGGCGTCAAGTGCCCCGCGTTGATGATGACCAAGAAGTGCAACCAGTTCAAGTGCGCCGTGGACTGCGGCATTCAGGAGGGAAAAAACACACACAGACACAATTCATCGTCCACTCCCAGGAAAATGTGGGAAATGGTGTGAAGTGGGGGGGAAGACGAACACCCAGAAGATATGGAAAGATATGGGGAATCCTTTTATCTGTGTGTATCTATTTGTGTGGAGCCGGCGTGGCAGGGCCCCTTCAGGCATGTCCGAGTGGAGCGGCTGGTCGGGCTGCTCCGCGGAGTGCGAGGGCGGCGAGCAGCAGAGGACCCGGTCCATCCTGGTGAAGCCGGCGAACGGCGGCCAGGACCGTGGGCCCGCACGGGGGCGGCGCGCAGGCGCCGCGGCACGCAGGGCACTCAGGAGGGGAACAAACACACAGACACAGACACAATCCATCGTCGATTCCCCAGCAAACATGGGGAAATATGGGGGGTGGGGGGGAGGACAGAAACCCAGAAGGTATGGGAAAATATGGGGAATCCTTTTCTTTGTGCGTATCTATCTGTGTGTCCTTGGGCCCCTTCAGGCACGCGCGCGCACGGCGCAGGGGGCACGGCGCGCGCGCGGCTCGGCTCGGCGCGTGCACGGCCTGCACGGCAGGGAGGGCCCCGCTGGGCACACGGCACGCGTGCGTCGCGGGACGCGCGGCGTGCCGCCGCGGGCGGTGCCGCACGTGCGGCGCGTGCGGCGCTGCCCGCACGGGCTCTCTCTCGAGTGTGCCCGTGCGCGTAGAAGGTGCTAGGAGCAGGGGGCAGAATCTCACCACCCACCAAACCACCCCAACCCAACCCGAAGGCTCAGATTTACCCTCGATTTCCAGTGGGGGGGGTCGGGGAACATCGAAAAAACACATGTGGAACCCTTACCCCCCCCAACCCGAAATTCGGGTCTTCGGGTTGGGTTGGGGTGGTCTGGTAGGTAGTCAGAATCCCGAGGCACACCGCAGGTGCTGACAGTCAGGCACGGCTCGGCGCGGCACGCATGGCGTGGCAGGTGCGGCGTGGGACGTCGTGCGCAGCACGTAATTATGGCATGTCTCGGTTTTGGACCAGTACACATGGATGGCGTTTCCCTGATCTCTTCCAGCTCATCCAGAAGTAAGCATTGGAGTCATTATCGTGTGGAGCGACTCGTGGAAACGACGACGGCGACAGCAACGGTTGTGCCGTTTCTTGTGCCGTTGCTTTCGTTGTCATCATGATCATCGTCATCATCCTCATCGTCGTCATCCTCATCTCCTGATTGCATTCTGATAAGTGTAATCGTTCTCGTCGTCATCGTTCTTGTCATCCTGGTTTCCGCCGTCATCCTCAGCGTCGTAGCCATCATCGTTGTCGCCGTGGTCGCGGTCGTCCTCATCGTCGTCGTGATGGGCATCATGGCCCTGCTTATCGTCGCCATGGTCACTCTCGTTGGCCTCATCCTCACTTTGGCCTTCGGCGGCTCGGCGGTCGCCTGATGGCTGTCCCGATCCGAATTCTGGCCATTCGTCTCTTTCCCCCAGCTCTCTGATCCGTCACCCGTGTTGTGTCGTGTCATGCCGTGCCCCCGACTGTCGCGTCCGTTTTGTCTGGTGCCGTGCGGCGCCGTGGTCCCACTTCTCGGATCCGCTGTCAGCTTGACGTGGTGCTACGCGGTTCCCCATTGTTCTTGTGATGCCGCGTGGTTCACCTGGCTGGGCTCGTCGGTTCGTCCGTATCCTGTGAGACCCCCCGATCGGTATGGTTTGTTTGAAGCCCCGGGGAGGGGATGATTCAGGGGGCACCACATCCCACTCGCCATGCGACTTCAAAGGGTCAGCGAATCTTGTTTCGGCCTGACAGGGTTTTGTTTGAATGCTCTGGGGCCTCTTGCGCACAGGGTGGCCAGATCGGAAATCTGGGATGTGCAGGCTGGGCACTGGCTTTCAGACGCGGGAGAGGAGGGAAAGGGATGATGAGGGACGGGAAGAGGAGGGGGGAGGAGAGAGGAGGGGAGAGGAAAGGAGTTGCCTCCTGCCCCTCCTCCTCCTCCTCCTCCTCACCTGGCGGCCAGGAGTGCGACACCACCCTGGAGGCGCAGGCGTGCAACACCGGAGGCTGCGACCGCGACTGCACCCTCAGCGAGTGGGGCGCCTGGTCGCCGTGCACCATGGCGTGCGGCGGGGGCATGCAGGAGCCACGGGGCTCCTCGTGGACAGGGGGGAAGAGCGAGGGCCCGGGGAGCTCGGTGGGCCCTGGAAACGGCAGGGCCGTTTTTTTAGCGGTTCCGTTTCGCCGTTTGTTTGCCAGTTCCGACGCCGTTTTTTTACCGGCTCCGTCGCCGTTTGTTGACCGGTTCCGGCTCCAGTTCCGATCCTGGAGCCGTTTTTTTGCCGTTTCTGGTCGCCGTTTTTTGCCGTTCCCATTTTCAATCGACATTTTTCTGGAAACGGTGAAAAAACGGCCCTGCCGTTTCCGGGGCCCACAAAGCCTGGGAGTGCCCGAGAAGCTCGCAGAGGGCACGGGCGGCGGAGTCGCCAGACTCTGCTGCAATCGGCCCTCCGCAGCTCGGACTGCGCCAAGCACCTGCTGGGATCCAGTCGGGCCCGCCCCTCCACAGGAGGAAGATTCAAAGATAGTGAAAACATAGTCCAGGGACTATTTTGTTGAGTATTTGTGGGCATTTTTTTTGTTGTTGTTGTTATGTATGTATGTATGTATGTATGTATGTATGTATGTATGTATGTATGTATGTATGTATGTATGTATGTATGTATGTATGTATGCATGCATGCATGTATGTATGTATGTATGTATGTATGTATGTATGTATGTATGTATGTATGTATGTATGTATGTATGTACGTATGTATGTATGTATGTATGTATGTATGTATGTATGTATGTATGTATGTATGTGTGTGTGTATGTATGTAGGTATGTATGTATGTAGGCATGTAGGTATGTAGGTATGTATGTATGTAGGCATGTAGGCATGTAGGCATGTATGTATGTATGTATGTATGTATGTATGTATGTATGTATGTATGTATGTATGTATGTATGCATGCATGTATGCATGCATGCATGCATGCATGTACACATATATCCGAGATCCAATAATCCCCTGTAGGGGGGCAGGCCCGACCTAGTGCTGGGGGCAGGCAGGGCGGTTCCCCTGCAGCTTCCCCTCCAGGAGCGGGTGAAGTCCGTGCTCGTCCCGATCCGCGCCCTCGGCAAGTGCCCCGAGAAGAACCACCCCGACCGCCTGGAGACGCAGCAGTGCAACACTCAGGAGGGGGAACAACACACACAATTAATCGTCGATCCCAAGGAAAATAATGGGAACATATGGGAAGTGGGGGCAAGACGAAAACCCAGGACATAGTATTTATGTGTGTGTCCCAGGGCCCCTTTAAACACGCATGATCGAGAGACGGGAAATGGTTCAGAACGTGGTTCTCCGCCGCGGGGTGCGTTGGCGCCACGGCGGTCGGACATTCAATTTTGCGTCTCTTCGTCCGTCGACAGGAGTGCGTCGGGGACGAGATTTGCATCGCCAAGCAGGACCTCATCATCGCGGTCGACGCAAGCGGCTCTCTGCGCGAGAGCGGCTTCGAGGTGCTCCGCAACTTTGTGGCCAACTTCACTGGCCGATACCAGTCCACGTACTATGGCGCAGAGGCCATGCACGTTGGCGTGATCATGTTCGGCAACGGCGAGGTCAACGAAGACGGTACCATCTCGAAGGCCGAGATGGTGGAGCCTCTTACGACGGACATGGCCGTGGTGAGGGAGAAGGTGCTCGCGCTGACTTGGCAGCGCGGTATCACGAACATGGCCCAGGCGTTTTCGCTGGCGCAGAAGATGTTCCGCGAAGGAGGCCGCGAAGATGCGCAGAGTGCATTGATGGTCATCACCGATGGCAAGCCTTCCATGAAGTTTGCGACCAGTCAGCAGGTTGAGAAGCTCAAGGAGATGAACGTGCACATGTACTTCGCACCTATCGCCGAGTTTCCGAGCAGGAAGTTCGACGTCCTCAAGGGGTGGGCAAGCGAGCCGTGGGAGACGAACTACGAGCGGGTCCCTGGCTTACTCGCCCTCAGTAACAACTTCGACATGTTCGGGCAAAGGCTGGTGGCGAAATTCTGCCCGAACTCCTTTTCTCCTTCCCAGGAGAAGGCCAAGGCAGAGGATAAGGGCTACATGCTCATCCACGAGTATGGCTACCCTGATTCGGCATGCGGCATGAACTACAGAATGGGTGTCTACGCGACGATCGAGGACTGCATGTTGGCGGTACGGGATTATGCCGCCATGTCTTCTTTCAGCTATGTCCACAGCGGAAGGATGTTAGGAACGTGCTATGCGGAGACCCTGGAGGTGACTGATGAGCTGTGGGCATCGTGGTCGGCCAATCTGACAGCCCCCGAGTGTCCCAACGGTGGGTGGACAGAAGATCCGTACTCCGACACGTTCGCTATTAACCCCTCTTCTGTAGTGGACTTGAGCATGGAGGAGGACGACTGAGTGCCCGCGTGAGGCTCGGATTGCTTCTTAGGCAGGAATTGCAGCCCGGCCTGATACCCAGGGAATGTCGCAATGCACGTCACGCTGTAGTTAGGTGTGTTACGGATAATGTCAGCGTCACTTTCTAGTTTGAGCGCCTTTCCAGTCCTTACGGATAGTGCTGCATCGAAGGTGACGCATGCTGAATAATTTGGCTTACCTTTCAAATTCTGACGCTTCAGCCCATCCAGAAACATATCGCCAGGCGAGTTGCCTTGATCAGGGAAGTGTAGAAGCACGCAGTGCAACAACCGCCTTGGAAGTGTTTTCTCGGAGGTCTCTTGGAGCCGTTTTGGGTCTCTCTTGGTCTCCTCGCGGAGCCACTTGGGGCCTTCTTGGGGCCTCTCTTTGGGGGGGTCTGGGGGGCGTATTGGGACCTCTTGGGCCCCAAGGCTCACCAAGAGGGGGGTCCTCAATGTAGCCCTCCCCCTCGGAGGCTCAAAAATGGCGTCTGTGGACCCTCTAGGGGCGATCCTGGGGCGCTCTTGGGCGCTCTTGGGGCCCTCCTGGGGCCCTCTCGGGCCCCTCTCGGGACTCTCTTGGGCCGTCTTGGGGCCATCTTGAGGCCTCAAGAGCCCATCGGAAGCGAACAATCGAGACGGCAAAAAACATTGATAATCCCCAGGTTCTTCGAAGGATTTCGGCCTCTTGGGGGGTCCTTGAAGGGTTCGGAGGGCGCTTGACGCCGTTTTGGGGCCGTCTTGAGAACGCCTGGATGTGTGTCCCGGGCTATCTTGAACCATCTTGAGGTAATTTGAATTATCTCGGAGGCCATCTTGGGATCTCTGAGGCTCTCTTGGAGCCATCTTGGCCCGTATTGGGCGCTCTAACTACCGGCGGCCCCCCCTCCCAGGCCCAGGGGAGAGGGTAGGAGGAGGGGTCAAGACACCCTCCAGATAGCAAGCCGTCTAGCTCACTCCCACCCGCCCTCCCAACACATAAGTAACACCCGAGCCTCAGCATGTTCCGTGGTCGTCTTTTGATGGACAGCTATTGGGACCCCAAACCGAACCCATGTGCGCGACGCTGGGGCGAGATGCGCCACCTGTGCCAGGCGCGCCACGCGCGCCAGGTACCCCTGGGGCCCGAGCGTGCCAGGCGCGCCTAGTGCGCCAGATGCTCCTTCCAGCCGCGCCAGGTGCGCCACGTCCGGGGCACGTGCAGAGTGTGTCAGGTGCGCCTGCGCACGTGACAGTACACGTCGGGAAACATGTTGGCCCCCACCATCCCTGTCAAAAACCAATGCCCCTCATTGTGTCTGGTGGGCCTGCGCACAGCAGGCCATACGCCACCACCCCCACCGTTCCTGACAAAAACCACTTGACAATGATCGCGGGATGGCCGCGCACTATCCACATTTAGCCGCGAGGTGCATTCTGTATTGTGTGTTTGTCAGGGATGGTAGCCCTGTGTGCAGCAGGCAATATGCTGACACCCCCGCCGTCGAAAAGCTATACTAAGTGCCCGTGGGCCTCACGAACATGACTCCAGACTTTGCCCCAAGGTGTATTGTATTGTTTGTTGACAGGGATGGTGGGGGGGGGCCCGCATCGGGTTGGTCTCGCATGCTCCGAAATTGGAAGCAAAGTGCGTTTTGTATTGTTTTTTTGGCAGGGATGGTGGGGGGGGTGCCCTCATGGTGTGTTCATGGTGCCGGGTTGGCTGCCTGTAGGGTGGGTCGGGAGCCTCGAGACGGGGGTCAATGCAAACGGGGGTCAGCCAGGGCGCCAGATCCTGCAGGATCCTGCGAAGGCCCCCTCTGGCTGACCCGGGTCAGCGAGCCGCTCGTGGCCGCGCCTATTGGCTGACCCGGGTTTGGGAAGCCCTGCGCTGCAGTTTTTTTTTCCTGCATTGCAGTTTTTGGTTTCCTGCTGACCCGGGTCTGGATTGACCCGGGTCAGAAGATCCCCGAGTGGGGGAGGGCGTGTTTATTAATAGGGAGCAGTGATCGAGGACCCCCTTTCGCCCGCAAGCCGTCTCGATCACTCCCACCCGCCCTCCCAACACATAAGTAATACCGGGAGGAGTCTCATTCAGCATATTGCTTAAGGGCGCCACGCATGCCATGTGCGCCACGGGTTCCAGGTGCACCAGGCACCCTGGAGGTCCAAGCGAGCCAGGCGCGCCAGGTGCGCCAGGTGCTCCACGTTCAAGCAATATGCCAGCACCCCCGCCGTCCCTGTCAAAATCCAATGCAAAGCGGTCGCAGGGCGCCCGGGCATGCTCCAGATGTGGAGGCAACGTGCATGATGTATTGTTTTTTGATAAGGATGGTTGGCCTGCGCGCAGCGAGCAATATGGCAGCTCCCCCGCCGTCCCTGTCAAAAGCCCACCTAAAGTGGCCGCGGGCCGCCTGCGCACGCTCCACATGTGAAGGCAAAGCGAATTCTGTATCGTTTGTTGACAGGGATGGTTGGCTTGCGCGCAGCGAGCAATATGACGGCCCTCCCGCCGTCCCGGTCAAAAACCATGCAGAGTGGTCGCGGGTTGCCCGCGCATGTTCCAGATTCGGAGGCAAAGAGCACTCTGTGTTGTTTTTTGCAAAGGATGGTCGGTCTGCGTGCAGCGAGCAATCTGGCTGAACCCCCACTGTCCCTTTCCAAAACCAATGTAGAGTTGTCGCGGGGCGCCCGCGCATGCGCCAAGTTTGGAGGCAGAGTGTATTCTGTATTGTCTTTTGACAGGGATGGTGGGGTGGGGGGTTGGCATGTCTCGGGTTGGCCCAGTTGGGTGGGCGAGGGGGTGTATATATTAATAAGGAACAATAGTGAACCCCTCCCCCGAGCAGGGGAAGGAGGGATTTTGGCAGAGAGAGAGAGAGAGAGAATACTAAATTTGTAAACCACCTGCGCCCAGGGGCTGGTGGGATTTGATACGGCGGGTGGACGGGTCGGTCTTCTTGAATGTTCCGAATTATTCTTGACGCTTTGCGTATCCCCACCCGCACGAAATAGTCGCCCCCCTGCACGCCGCTCAGCCGGTACCTCGGCAGTTGCAGCTCCAGCTTTGTTGCGTAAGGCTGCTACGCATGGCCTTCCACGTGGCGCGTCCGACGCTGGCACACTCCAGCTCGGGCTGCATCGGCGCAGTCCTGCCACCTCCCCATCTTTCTATGTGTCTTCTGTGGCGGTTAGCTGCACCCCCCACACGTGTAGACGCTCTCGGCGTGCAGCTGCTTTCAAGTTACGTGTCTCTTGCGGCGGTTAGCTGCATCCCCCTCTCCACGTCAAGGCGCACTTGAGGGCCGCAGGCCGGCCACGGTGTGGGGCGGCGCCGCTTGCGTGGCCTGGTGGACGTCTTCCACTGTGCCCCTGGGGCTCGCCCGCGGCGGCGGCAGTAGCCTGAGCGGGTGGCCAGGCGGGCTGGCGGCTTGGAGGATCCCCCATCCACGGACCGCCCCATACAGCCGCAGCTGGCATTGGTGGGCCTCTTCGCAGCAGGTCGACTCTGTGGTACTCGGAAGGTCGATGGTGTCCATCGAAGTGAGAGTTACTGTGACGGGTTGACTTGCCTGAGTGTTGCCTCAGCTAGCGTTTTTCCTGGCGCCCCTCCCGGGCCTTCTTTGCTGGTGCCGGCCCGTCCGTCGATTGCCGCCGGCCCCCCCAACTCTGCGGTGGCGTTTGTTGGCTGCGCGCTGAGTGGTTCAGCCTTCAGCGCCGACGGCCTTCGTTTTCCACCACCTGCAGCCTGTCCCCCGGGCTCGCTTCGTTGTCAGCCTGGGAAGCTGCTCGGAGCTTGGCGCCGCAAGGGCGACTCGCTCCGTTGCACTCGCACTCGTGGCCGCTTGTTCACTTTGGTTTGGGCGGCGCCTAGGTGCGTCTGCTTGTGAATGTGGAGCATTTTGCTCAGTGCACGTGCACCGCACGCTCTGTGTGCAATTAGCTTTGTACCGCCGTCACGGACATCGCTTGTTGCCGCCAGACCGTTGTCGCGCGGCCGCCGACCAAAAGTATCCCCACCCGTGCCCCGGACAGCTTTTGTCTCCGCCTGCGCTCTTCGCTCGCGGACGCGACCAAAGAAGTATCCCCACCCGTGTACCGGGTTGCTTTGCCGACCGGGCGTGCCCTGGATGGTGGGCGCTCCCCCCTTCACGGGGCCCAGCGTCCCCATCGACAGTCGCATTCCTACACGTGGATGGTGGCACGCAACACCGCGCCTGTTGGTTGCGATGGGTCGCTGGCCAAGCGGTCGCTCCGTGCGGTACCCCCTCGCCGTGGAGTTGCGCACCACGTTCGCTGGGCATTGCACGCCGCTGACGTGTGGCGACTTCCCAATTATTCATATCCGTAAGGGCTTCGCCCCCTGCCGCCGGCCCCCTCTCTCGGATAATGGGCCATGGAAGAGCTAAGTCATGAGGCCTTGGCGCTGTCGTGAAGCAGTATCGAAACTTCATGCGAAGCCGGTTCGCAATCAGCAAAACCAACTGATCACAAGAGGGGTTACCACACCTGGCGATTGGTAAGACGTGTATGGTTTACGGGCTTGGTTGCCACACCTTGCGATTAAAGGGCCGAGGGGGTTCTCGCAGTTTGGGTTACCACGCCTTGCGATGGATGTGCGTGAAGGGTGGCACCGAATTTCAGAAATGTGGCCAAATCCCTTGTGTTTTTGGACCCTGACCCCGCGGATCTGCGTAAGGGGTGGCGCCGAATTTCAGAAATGTAGCAAATCCTATGTTTTTGGACCCTGACCCCGCGGATCTGCGTGAGGGGTGGCACCGAATTTCAGAAATGTGGCAATTTTGGACCCTGACCCCGCGGATCTGCGTGAGGGGTGGCACCGAACTTCAGAGATGTGGCAAATCTCGTGTGTTTTTGAGCCTTGACCCCGCGGATCTGCGTGAGGGGTGGCACCGAACTTCAGAAATGTAGCAAATCCCTTGTGTTTTTGGACCCTGACCCCGCGGATCTGCTTGATGGGGTGGCACCGAATTTCAGAAATGTAGCAAATCGCCTGTGTTTTTGGACCCTGACCCCGCGGATCTGCGTGAGAGGTGGCGCCGAATTTGAGAAATGTAGCAAATCCCCTGTGTTTTTGGACCCTGACCCCGCGGATCTGCGTGAGGGGTGGCACCGAATTTCAGAAATGTGGCAACTCCCCTGTGTTTTTGGACCCTGACCCCGCGGATCTGCGTGAGGGGTGGCACCGAATTTCAAAAATGTGGCAAATCCCTTGTGTTTTTGGACCCTGACCCCGCGGATCTGCGTGAGGGGTGTCGATTTCGAAGCCCTCCAGCAATTCAGACAACGCGCCCAGGGGGTGCCAAAAAGCCGGTTTGGGCCTCCCCCCCCCTCGCGCGGTCAATCAACTAGTTTCAGTAACCAGCAGTAAGTCAACTAGTGACAGTAACCAGCAAGAAGCAGAACTGTAACACTGGAAACTACAAGCTACAACTGGTACAGGAAACTGCGAACCTCGCGCCTACAGCCTGGTGGCCCCACAAGGGGGCCGGCGGATATCTAGGTTTACATCGAGGTTTCCTTCCTGGTCCTCGTCGGCTGCGGCTTCAAGTGCCAGATTTTCTGCGTTGTTTTCGCCGTCTGAGCTGCAGCGTTGCCCTTTCCTGCTCTTCAGGGTCTAGTTCAGCCCGCTGCTAAATAGTTGCTCGTGTTCGGACGGCGCGCGGTTGGATCGCGACGCTCGCGGAAAAAAACAAAAACAAATCCCCACCCTTTCCTTGACGCCTCCCGACCTTTTCTTGGCCGCGGTCGCGATCGAAAAAATATCCCCGCCCGCTCTTCCAGTATCGATTTTCGGGGAGTTGTCTTGACGAGGGAAGCTTCCCCTCGCGCGTGCCTATGTATGATCTTGTTCGGTGAGCTGACAGGCGCCACGTAGAGGTGCCGCGAATGTCAGTATGGTTTACTGCAGAATGTGTCGTGACAGGGGATATGTGCCCAGGAGGACGCGTGGAGTGTAGAATTTTTATTGGCGACGGACGAGCCCATGCAGCAAAACATCCATGCCATTCAGAACCGATGCCCTGGCGAGATGTCTTAGGAGCCTCGTAGAGGCCTCGTGGGGCCATGTGTGGAGGATGATTACCAAGCACGTTGTAGCCATAAAAGGGTACTTAAAGTCATCTTCAGGAATGAAGCGGCATCGGCGAAATAATGGTAAGCGGTGGGCAGCTCGTGGGAACGCGATTCCGACACAAACCAGTAGTTGGACGACAACGGGACACATTCCTAAAGTAACCGGGGTGGCCGGATCCACAAGCCAGTGGCCGCGTTGGAGCTAGTCCACGGGTGGTGCCACTGGCCGTGGTAGAGCGGGTCCACAGGGAGAATGCGTATCCAGGCCCCAAATATGAAGCTTCGGCCATGCCTTGAGAAACCCATGGCAGATGAGCGCTCCTGAATGCCTGAACCGCTGCCCTGGCATCTCGCTCCTGCGGGCGACCTCGTCCGAAGACATCTCAGCCCAACGCCCCTTCTGGTCCCCGTGGCCCTCGCGCTTCCTGTCGGATCTTCAAGTTGCCGACCTGCCTGCCACCGGGGGCCGTTATCCTCACCGATCCCGGCGGTCCCTTGCCCTCAGGGGCGGAACTCGCGCGGACCCGGGGCAACCTGGGGGGGGGGAGGCCGTCCTCGAAGGGCACGACCGGGGCCACATCGTATCTTTATGGGGTCCCCTGGGGCCTGGGACCCGCGCGGGCCCTGGGCAGGGTAGGGGGGGGGAAGGTCCCCAAGGACGGCGCCTCGGCCTCTGTCCCCCGGGGAGGGGGTTTAGGCCTCCCAGATGTGGTTGGAGCAGATTGGGTCGGAGGATCGCGCCGCATCCCCAGTGCATTGACGATTCGGCTTGATGTGGGGCCCGGCTTTCTCCACGCCGACGGCGCCGATGCATCGTTGAGGTTGCCGTTGCATCGCCAATGTGTCGGCGATGCATCGCCGATGCATCGGCGATGCGGCGCGATCCTCCGATCCCATGTGTTCCGACCCCATCTAGGATTAAGCTGGGCTTGTCCCTCTACAAGAGGAATTTTCAAGACTAATCAAATTATGAGGGACGTTTTTTTTTTTTTTTATATATATATATATGTACACAAATATACACACATATATATATATATATATATACGCAATATTTTGAGTATTTCCGGGTATGTTTGTTTATTTTTTTAGGTATCGGCCAAAATCCTTCTGTAGGGGGACAGGCCCGGCTTAAATCTAGGAGGCTTCCAAGGGGGGCCCTGAGGATAACTACGTGTGGGCTTTTGCAGCGCGGCGAGAGGCCGCCGCGCGGCGCGGGTCACGTCTCCTGCGCTGGCGCCGCGCTCGCGCGCGCTCCTGTGCGGACCCTCTGAGAGGGGGAGGCGACGGGGCCAGGCGCGTCGGACCAGTGGAGATGGCAGTCAGGTGCGCGACGCCCGCGAGGTGCGCCGTGCGCGCACGGGCATCTTCACCATCCTTATCACATCATGTACACATATACATGTCCACATATGTACACATGTAGCTGGGGCATTAAATGTGTTGGAATCCACGCGGTGCGATACATGCGGTGCAATCGATGTGGTGCAGTCCATGTGGTGCGAGTTATGTCGTGCAAACAGTGTTGTACATTCTATGTAATTTGATCTTGGTTGTGCATTCCATGTGGTGCAAGGTATGCGGTGCAATCTATGTTGTGCGGCTTATGTTGTGCAATCAATGTGGTGCAGGCTGTTCGGTGCGCAATCTATGTGGCGCAATTAATTTCTGTTCGCAGTGAGTTGTCCACTCCACTGCTCGCGCAAACATCCCACCCACCCACCCGCAACTTGGTTTGCAAAATCTCTCAAGACCGTGACGGTGGGTACCACATGGCACTTGGCAACAACAGCGACGCCGACGACGACAGCGACAGCGACGATGACGACGCCGCCGACAACGACTACGACGACACCGACGCCGTCTCCAACGACTTCGACGACGCCGACAACGACGACGACGACGACACCGACGACGACGACGACACCGACGACGACGACGATGACAACGACGACGACGATGACGACGCCGACGACGACGATAGCGACGACACCGACGACGACGACGACGTCAACGACGCCGACGACGACGACGACGACGACGCGGCGACGACGACGCCGACGTCGACGACGACGAAGACGACAACGACGCCGACGCCGACGACGACGACGAATGCGACGACGACGTCGCCAACGAAGACAACGAGGAAGGAGGGAGGACGACGACGGCGACAACGACGACAACGACGAGGGAGGAGGGAGGACTGCGACGACGCGAACGACGAAGAAGGAGGAAGGACGGCGACGCCGACGACGGCAACGACGAGGGAGGAGAGAAGACGACGACGACGACAACGACGACGACGACGAGGACGGCGACGAAATAGGAGGGACGACGACGAGACGCCGACGACGGACGACGACGACGACGAGGGAGGAGGAGGAAGGACGACCACGGCGACAACGACGACGGAAACGACCACGACGCCAAAGAGGACGACGACGACGACGAACACGAGGAACAGCAGAGGACGACGTAGGCGACGACGACGACGACAACGACGCGGGAGGAGCGAGGACGGTGACGACGACGACGACGACGCAACAGCGCGCGCGCACGCTTTTGTTGAAAATCCTTGTTGCGAAACCTTGGGTATTTGTAGGTTTTTGGACGCACGATTTTGAAATTCTTCCGAAACCGATGGGTTTTGAAGGTTTTCGGCATACGCGCGCGACGACGCGCGCGTCTGCACTTCGTCCCATTGTTTGCAGGGGGTTCTCGCGATGGCACGCGCGCAGGGGCGTTCGACAGATTTCGACGTGAGCGCGCGCGAAGCCCGTTTGGTAGTATGTTGCGAAACTCTTGAAAAACAAATGGTTTTCTTAAGATTTCGCAAGAGCTCGCGCGGAAGCTTTTTTAGCACATCAGTGTTGCGAGACCCTGTGTTTTTCCCAACCATCCTGTGGTGTTGGGTCCTCGTTTTGAAGAGACAGCGCCCCGCGTCCCACCTCCTCTCCTCCTCTCTCCTCTCCTCCTCTCCTCTGATGCCGTCCGCATGCGTCCCGCACACCCATTTCGGCACACCCCTCACACGTTTCGTGGCCCCATAGGGAGCTCCACCGAAGGCACCACTGCTGCCGTCCGCATGCGTCCCGCACACCCATTTCGGCACACCCCTCACACGTTTCGTGGCCCCACAGGGAGCTCCACCGAAGGCCCCAGTGCTGCCGTCCGCATGCGTCCCGCACACCCATTTCGGCACACCCCTCACACGTTTCGTGGCCCCACAGGGAGCTCCACCGAAGGCCCCAGTGCTGCCGTCCGCATGCGTCCCGCACACCCATTTCGGCACACCCCTCACACGTTTCGTGGCCCCATAGGGAGCTCCACCGAAGGCCCCATGGCTGCCGTCCGCATGCGTCCCGCACACCCATTTCGGCACACCCCTCACACGTTTCGTGGCCCCACAGGGAGCTCCACCGAAGGCCCCAGTGCTGCCGTCCGCATGCGTCCCGCACACCCATTTCGGCACACCCCTCACACGTTTCGTGGCCCCATAGGGAGCTCCACCGAAGGCCCCATGGCTGCCGTCCGCATGCGTCCCGCACACCCATTTCGGCACACCCCTCACACGTTTCGTGGCCCCACAGGGAGCTCCACCGAAGGCCCCAGTGCTGCCGTCCGCATGCGTCCCGCACACCCATTTCGGCACACCCCTCACACGTTTCGTGGCCCCATAGGGAGCTCCACCGAAGGCCCCATGGCTGCCGTCCGCATGCGTCCCGCACACCCATTTCGGCACACCCCTCACACGTTTCGTGGCCCCACAGGGAGCTCCACCGAAGGCCCCAGTGCTGCCGTCCGCATGCGTCCCGCACACCCATTTCGGCACACCCCTCACACGTTTCGTGGCCCCATAGGGAGCTCCACCGAAGGCCCCATGGCTGCCGTCCGCATGCGTCCCGCACACCCATTTCGGCACACCCCTCACACGTTTCGTGGCCCCAGGGAGCTCCACCGAAGGCCCCAGTGCTGCCGTCCGCATGCGTCCCCACACCCATTTCGGCACACCCCTCACACGTTTCGTGGCCCCATAGGGAGCTCCACCGAAGGCCCCATGGCTGCCGTCCGCATGCGTCCCGCACACCCATTTCGGCACACCCCTCACACGTTTCGTGGCCCCACAGGGAGCTCCACCGAAGGCCCCAGTGCTGCCGTCCGCATGCGTCCCGCACACCAGGTGTGTGGCGTGCCGACATGGGCGTCGCGGCGCGCGGGCGCTGCCGTCGGGGTTCCCAGGGAAGCCCCCTGCAGAGGCGACGCTCAGAGTCACGAGTACCGAGAGTCACGCAGACCCAAACTGTTCACAGTCGTATACATACATTTACACTGGGCGTATCCATGCACGCATTCATGCGAATAGAATCAATCGCGCGCAGATTCATTCATAATCAGACTCGCTCGCGATCCGACTCGCACGCGCTCAAGCTTTCATATTCGGACCTATCGTCTTCGTTCGTGTTGTGTACACTGCCACGCATTTCGGCACACCCCTCATACGGCTCGTGGCCCCATAGGGAGCGCCACCGAAGAAGATATTCACAATTGCGGTACTCTCAACTGCATATGGTTGGGTCCTTCGCCAGGCTAATTGCATGTGTTTTGGAAGCTTGATTGCGAAATCCTTCGTGCACCGAAAGTCTTTGAAGGATTTCGGCATGCGCGCGCGACGACGCGCGCGTGTGCCCTTCGTCTCATTTTTTGCAAGGGATTCGTGAACAAGTGTTATGTTAGAACAACAAATGTCACCGCATAGTGTCTTTTACAAGGGAACCTCAGGGGGGGAAACCGGCCTAGCTGGGATGGTATGATTTCATATTCGGATGGACGGGTGTGCATAACATACGTATATATATATATATATATATATATATATATATATATATATATATATATATATATATATAT